GGGTCAGGGATAGGGTTGTGAAGCGATACGGTTGCAACAGCAGTTACATTTGGGTGCATACACAACTGTCGCAGCTGCTTTTCGCTTGTGGGCGGAGAGATTGAGGGAAGGGGCGCTGAAGGCATGCTGCACGGGAAGGGGGAACATTCCTTGGAATTCAACAGACACGGCACCCCCGCAAACGTGGACCCACTACAACCTGGTCGGCTTCAAACACTGTGGGTTGTGTATCATCCCAAACACTGTCGCACACACACACGTGCTCACGGGCCCCCAGATGATGCCTGCATGAGAAACCTTCATACGGGATTAGCCGCAGTTCTGAGACTGATGTAATTTCATTGATGCGCCGGTAAGCACGGTAGATGCCAACCAAACAGCACACAGACACGTACCACATTTTCCTACCCCGCTGCAAGACGGGGACGTCTTTCATTGGTCAGTCAGTTGGCTAACCTCCCCCCCAAACAAACAAAAAATGCATTCTATCTCGCTTCCAGACTGACGTCGTTCCATTGGTCAGTCGGTTAGCGCGGTCGACACTAACCCCCCAAAACAAAAAAAAAACATACACACCTATCTGCCCTCATAGCCCTCGAAATCTCGCTATCGCCGACGCCCACGACGGAAGACGAGCGGCTGCCTCCGCGACTCCCCCTTATCGGTGTGCTCGCCAGGGAGCGCGGCCGGCCGCTTGTAGGGGGCCCCGCTGTTGGGGGGCGCGGTGCGCGGCTACCCCTGGCCGGGGTGCCCCTCGGGGGGGGGCGCGATGAGAAGCGGACGGTCCCGTCTCCGAGCAAATCAGAGGCGTCGCCAGCCTTGGTCTCCTGAGAGGCAAGGGGGGGGGGGGATGGCATGTAAAAGCATATCTGGAAAGATTCAAATAAATGTGTTGATGTAAATTTATGCCGTAGTCGCTAGACCATTGACCTCGCATAGCTGGAGGGGGGGGGTAGGTTTAGGAGAAGAGCGGAAGGAGGGAATGAGAGACCGGTGTAGCGAGGGCGCCGACACGCTTAATGTGGTATTGAATGCGGTGGCATGCGGAGCGGTGGACGCGACACATAAAACATGTACACAAACTAGTGCCAAGCCCCTACAGCAGCAGTAGTCGAAGTTGTGAGAGAGGGGGCGCAGAGGAGAACAAAAAAACGATCAGAGGACAACACGCCAGGGCACGAAAACACCGCCTGCTCCCGTGTGCCTCATCAGACATCAAGGACAGCAGCCTCTCTCGTTTGTTTGGTGTTGCGTGTGTGTCGTGCGACTGCCTTAGCTTGTGGTCGTGTTTCGCGCAACAGATCTGTACCCACGCCCACTAACTAGATCCGTTGTATGCATATGTTCAACAATGCTCTCACAATACTCTCCAGCAACACGAGGAAGACGCCAGCGGACATTGTGCAGCGACCCAACCCAAACACGACTCCCACAAGAACCACAACAGCAACAAACACGACAAACTACGACCGCGACACCTCCCACCCGCAAACACTTGCCACAGCCGCCAGCCAAAAACACACACACACACAGATAGTGGACTATAGAAACATTTTGTGTTTCCCGCCGCACTGAGACTGACGTCTTTTCATTGGTCAGCCTGTTAGCGCGGTCGATGCTAATAATAAAAGCACACACACACATACACACACACACACCTGGTTGCCATCGCCGCCAAGTTCGTCATCCGACTCGTCCTCGGCAAACATCTCCATCAGCTTCGCCAGCCCTCCGCCTTCCGCCACCATCAGGTCCCCGTACGACCCCTCCTACAGCACAAAGGCGCATCGACGCAGACACGATAAAAACAAAAAAATCGCATTCGGTCGGAGTACGCGGCACGAGTGCTGGAAGCCCTGATTTAAAAATGACAATAATTACAAAAAAACGTTACAGAAAAAAAACGCAAGCACAAATAACGAAGACAGCGCGGTACAGAAACGAGAAACGCACGCTGCAGTACGTTATGGTGCCCAGCGACAAGTTCACCGTGGCAGGCACGAGGCTTCCTGATGCACGACGACGCGATCGCTCGGGCGAGATTTCGGCACGTACGAACGTAACTAATTTATCCTCCACATTGTGGCCGGAACAAAGAGAATAAAAGGACACTCGAGGTATGTGACGAAACTACCAAGCTTTCGTTGAGCTGAAACAAAGGCATCGCCTGCTCGTGGCATGCGCTCAACATCCGACCTTTCCGGAAACTCTCGCAAAATCGGCACACCCGCGTGAGCCTTAAAGCAGGCTCTCCTCTCTATCCATGACGGGTAGGTGTGGGTGTGCGTACTTATAGCCGTGCATGCCGTACGTAGTTGATAGACCATTGACCTCGCATCCCTACAAAGCCGGGGGGGGGGGCTTACACACATGTTTTTCATGCCTAGCTGTTCGACCATTGACCACCATCACGGTTACCGCAAAAAAACAACGGCAACAAAAAAAACGGTAGCCTGGTTGTGGAATTCACGAAGCGAGGCGTGTTTGATAACGTCGTTGCCAAGCGACGAAAACCCAACGAACATAGGGGTGTGTGTGCGTACTCGTAGTCGCGCATACCGCAGTCGTCAGACCACTGACCTCGCATATCGCACATCACGTATCACGTATCACATATATCTCATATCACATACAACACTCCTTACCTCAACGATGCGACCTCCGTCGAGCACTAGCACAAGGTCAGTCTGAGGCAGGAACTGCAGCTGGTTGGCGCAAAGGACGACGGTCTTGCCCTTGAGGAACCCCGCCAGGCATTCGTCGAACAGATGCCTTGTGTTAGCAGCAGGGGGCGAGCGGAGGAGGGAGGAGGAAGACGCACACACATCAAATACAGGCAAGCACGACAACGCGAGCAAGGATCGGAACAGCGTCTCCGCGGAAACTGACTTGCCATCAGTGCACGCTCTCAAAAGAGCGGCAAGCATGCAGAACACGCGCACCAAGCCGCGAGCAGTCACGGGGAAACTCACCGAAAAAAGAGAGCAAAGCATGCGCGAAACACAAAAATGGTTAGGAGTTTCTAGCGTGCGCACCGCCCGGCCCGCCCACCACTACGAGCAAGACAAACAACAAATCCAATTCCGTGAACAAGGGTCCGACCGCTGCCCCAAGCCTGCGTAAACGCAAAAAACATATTTTATCGGCCGTTCACACAACAGTAGAAACCCAACCCGATACCGCTGCCGCGTCCCGCCAAAACGCGAACAACAAAGCCCTTGAGCAAAACAAAAGCCCGTTATTTTCGCGTTCGCCCCCCGTACAGCTTCAGAAGCAGCAGTACCTTGCGACGTGGGCGTCGACGGCGGACAGCGGGTCGTCCAGGATGTACACGTCCGCGTTGGCGTAGGCCGCTCTCGCTATCGAAACCCTCTGCTTCTGGCCGCCCGACAGGTTGATGCCCTTGTCGCCGATCTCGGTCTCGTCGCCCGCCGGCAGTTGAGACAGATCCTGAAAACAGCAAGAAAAAAAAATGATACCATTTTTTGACCGCAGCGGGTACTCATGTAGACGCATGCCGTAGTCGTTAGACCATCGACCACGCGTCCTCGAGAGGATGGAGCATTGTTCCGACAGGACTGATCGCCGCCGGCGGCCAATCGTTCCTTCCGCAGGAGGGGGAGGGTGCAAAATCTTGCAACCATGTTCTTCTACCTTGGGGCTCCTGCGTGTCTACAGCAGTACAACCATCGGCCAACCGAAGGTGATCGTGATGAAGGCGATGCTGTTGCTGCAGAAACAATGCAGATTGTGCACAGAAGAACCCAACCTCAAATGCCGCCCCCGACGGCCAAACCAAGTCGTGCCGTGGAGCAAACATGAATCTACACCGATCAGAACACTCAAAAGAGCTCACAGGAAACATCGATCTGTTTTTTTTACGAATCAGAAAACTGCGTCCACAACTTACTTACTGTTCCTAGTCTGCCCATGCGATAGCCACCGACACCAATATACCTGTTTCATGTCGCACACGTCGAGAACCTTCTGGTACCGCGCCTCGTCGAAAGGCCGGCCCATCAGGACGTTCTCCTTGAGCGTGGCGTTGATGATCCAGGCCGTCTGCGCCACGTACGCCACGCTGCCGTCGATGGAAACGCGCCCTTCGACCTTGGTCATCTCTCCCAGCAGCGCCGACACCAGGCTGCTCTTGCCGCTGCCCACCTGCCGTACGATGTTGATGTTGTGTGTTAAAACGCGTGGAGGGGG